CGCGTTTGGGGGGGGGTTCTTGGGCAAAGGGGAGGCGTGGAGGAGAAAGGGGAGAGGGTGCACTGAGAGGGAGCCAGGGGCCAGACTCCTGATGTCCGGGGTGTGCGACCCCCAGCGTCCTCCGGTGCGGGAGAGAGGGAAGGGGCGACTTAGGAAGCCCTGGGGTGGGCTGAGCCGGGTTCCAGAGCTGCTCAGAGCGGTGCAGCTGGCCGGAAGGGAACCACCGTTCTTGTTGATCTCAGTGGCAGGGGGGGCAGGCCCGGAAGGGAAGGTGGCTTTGGCCGAGGCCTGGGACTGAGCTGGGAAGCTGGGTTTTATTCCTGGCATCAGGGTGCTGGGCGAGCCACTCCTGCTGTCTGCCAGCCTCAGTTTCCCCACCTGCAGCACGCTGGGTTACTTGGGGTCACTAAAGCACCATGTGCTGAGAGGAGGTGCTAGAGAAGAGCCAGAACTGAAGCCCACCGGGGAGACAGCAGTGTCCTGGAAGGCAGCGCGGCCTAGTGGTTCAAGCACTGGGATTCAGGAGGCCTGCGTTCTGCTGGTTTTTCTGTGTGACCTGGGGCAACTCACTGCAGTGCTGTGCCTCAGTTTCCCCATCTGTAAAATGGGGGAGGGAGGGGGAATGGCCCTGACCTCCTTTGGTGGGCGGGCAGCCCACCGGCCCACGCAGGGCATCTCTCTGAATGGCTCCTCCTGCCCTTAGTCGGCACGACAACCTGAGCTCTCCACGTGGCCCTGGCTCTCCGGAGCTCCTGTCCCACAGCCGTGCGAGGGCAGAGGCGCTGGGCAGGGGCCGCCCCTCGCGGCAGGAGGTGGGGGGTTCAGGGCCTGCCCTCTTGCCAGCGTGGCCCTTGTGATGGGATCCACTCCCGGGCCTGACTCAGCCTTGGGCTTTCCCCTCCGCCACCCAACAGCTTACAGGACCGCCTCGGCCGGCCGGCTGCCGGGGCGCGAGAGCGACACGGAGGAAGAGGAGTGCTGGTCGGACTCCCAGGTCCCTCCCGAGGCTCAGCCCCGCAGCCGGGACGTCGCGCTGACCAAGCCGCTCTCCCGGAGACAGAGCCTGCGCGTGG